AGGTTTCCAGCAAATTCCCGCTTTCAGTCCCGTACCTCACTCCGTCTTCTGCTGTGTCTTCAGCGCCTGAGGCTTTTTGTGGTTCTGTAGTACAAACTGCTTATTTCATATCTGGAGTCCCCTCTTTGGCTACTTTGGTTTGGACTTCCTGCATTCTTCTGTAACAGTTCCCACTCCTGCGCTGGCCTTTAGCAGGCTCTCGGGAAGGCATGCAGACATGTGTTCCATGTGCTTGACGAGCTAGAGGTCCATGGAGGCATTTAGCACAGGAAAGTTATTAACATCCCTCCAGGGACAGCATGGAGGGTTGAGTGACCAGAAAGGGCAGTGGGGACGAGAGGAGGCAGGTACATTAGAGGTGAGGCAAGAGAAGATGGGCGTGGCAAATAGCTGTGGCAGAAGGGGATGGAGGCAGTAAATGTCAGAGAAGTAAGATGAAGGACCTTAAAAGTAAAGGAGAGGGAAGAATCCAGAGTGCCACCTCAGTTTCTCACCTAGGTGGCAGCTGGCTTAGTGATGGCTTTGCTGAGGCAAGGACCACAGTAAGAGAGAGTCTGGGTAAGAACAGGTTCAGCTGGAGGACGTGTGAGGAACCCAAGGGAATTCCAGGTGGGAATATTCAGGAGGCAGGTGGGTATAGGGGTTTGAAGCACAGACAGTATATCTTGCTACCCGTCCTTGCTAGTTACGTGAGCTAAAGCCAGTGGCACAAATGAGATCATCAGCTGGAGGGTAGGGAGGAGGGAAGGGTGGACAGTGGACCACACAGGGATGAAAGGGATAGTCTCTGAAGTGAGATAAATAAGGGAGTGAAACCAAGTGACTACCAGCCCAGCCCTATCACTTCAGAGCTGAAAAGGGTGGCCATTTGGGCTCTGATGTTAGCCCACAGCCTCTGAGCCCGTAAATTCCTCAAGAGCCCTGTTAGCTCTGCAGCCCCTATCCCTGAGCCCCAGGGAGAGGACTTCCCGCTTCCCTGCAGCTGTTCAAGGACAGCTGATGGGGACGCCCCTGGGCTTTCCTTCCTGGGGCAGAGGATCAAAGAGAGTTGGTGGTGGGGATTTCCCCTCCGCCTCGAGGTCACACTGAAACTGGGTCATTCCTGGCTTCCTCCCACAGCCACACGCAGCATCAGCTCCGAGGTCTCTCTATGGGACCCTGATCTTAATGTTCTTAAAAGGCAGAATGGGTGGCTAGCCTCAGGTCTGACACCTAGAAATGACCTATCCCGGAGTCTTTTGGCTATATGAGCCCTGGAAGCTCTGTTTGGATGTAAAAATCAGCATGATCACTTTGATTGCTTGCTACCCAGTGCGTGCACTTCACTAAGCCCTTTATGTGCTTTCTGTCACTGAGTCTACAGGACTTTATGAGATGGAAACATACTGTGCCCATTTTACAGATGTGGAAACTGGGGCCCAGAGAATTTGGGTGACTTGCTTGAGGTGGAGTCTGTATATGTCTGGACTAGGCACACTCCCAGGTTAGAACTCTGAATTTGCGCTAGTGGTTGGCTGTGTCCCTGTCCTGTGAGAGCCCAGCCCCAACCCTGCCACTCTGCTGGTGAGAATGTGTGTGTATAAGTGTGTGTGTGCGCGCGCGCACGTGCACGTGCATGCGCGCATACCACAGACACCCATTCCTGCTCCTGCGCTCTCCTAGACTGCCCTCCAGAGACCACAGGAATTCTGATGAATTAATCTCATCACTTTATCAAGGAGGCACTTACAAAAATTACAAGGCAAGGCCACCAGCCTGGCTTTGCTGGCAGCCAGCCGCTGGGGCCATAAAACAAATTGAAAGGAACAAAAATAAATAAATAAAATTAGATCTCTCTCTCTCTCTCCTCTCTCTCTCTCTCTCTCTCACCTACACACACACACACACACATCTCTCTCTCTCTCTCTCTCTCTCTCTCTCTCACACACACACACACACACACACAAAGGGTCAAGAACATCCCTAGATTCTTGTTAACGCTCGGTCTCTTGTCCTGGGAGAGCACCAACGCCAAGCCAACAGACAGTGACCCCTTGCTGGGGCGACAACCCTGCAAAACCTGGGATCCATCCTTCAAGGGATTGGCAGGCTGGCCGAGGGGCTGAGACCAGTGAGCGTGAAGGGTTAGCCGCATGCAAGTGGTATCTCAAGGCAGCCCAAATTCCCATGCCAGAAGGCCCCTGTGAGCTCATGGCCCAGTCATGCAGAGCAGAGCCGGACCACCTGGGTTCAAGTCCTTGCTCGGCCTGGTCCTAGACTCAGCTCCGCTTTCTTATCTGTAAGATGGAGAGGAAGCTGTTCCCTCCAGGACTGCTGGGAAAATTAAAGATTCAGTACATGAGAAGTAGGACCACAGCTGTTAGCTCTCAGTGTGCACTGAGCACCTGCCATGTGCCAGGCCCTGGGACTGCGGAGAGGAGCTGGTCTGGGAGCAGGAGACAGACAGTTGCAACACAGGTGATGGAGAGAAGGAGCACCTTCCCCAGGGGAAACTGGAGGTGTGGCAAGGAGGTAGAGGGAGCAGAGTGGGTTTATTCTAAGCAGCAAAAGCCTGGGAGCCCAGGAGGCAGCGCTGAGTTCCAGGAACTGATAATTATGCAGACAATGGGGATGTTGAGGCTGGGGTGGGGGTGGGGTGGGGTGGGATAGGAACCAGGGCCAAATTCTCCAGAGCCTTCCAAGCCAGGATGGGCCTGGATGAATTCGTTGATGTATGGGGTTTCCTCTCTCTCTCTTTTTAATTTTACCACGCTTATGTGAATACTGAAATTATTTCCTGAGAAGTCACATGAGCCAGAGTGACCTGAGAAATGGTTAGAGTGAGATACTAGAGGCAGGGGCTCACAGACTGTTTATTCCTTCCCTTCCTCTTCCTTCCTTCTTACAGCACAAAGGATGACCTCCAGCCCCCGTCCCTGCAGAAAGGTGCTGCTGGCTGGACTTCAGAGAGAGAGAGAGAGGGAGGGAGAGAGGGAGGGAGGTATCTGTGAGGTACCCCAGGCAAATCGACCTCTGTGAGCCTCAGTTTTCTCACCAGCACAAAACGAGGATCAGAATACTCACTGAGCTGTCATGGGTACTCAGTACAATTAGGCACCGTGTAATTGGGGCTCCATAATTTCATTACTTCTAAGCACTTCATCAGTAGTGGAACCTGGTTCATGCTTGTTCTCAGAAAATCCAATGGTAGGTGGTTTCCAAATGCCACCCGGGGAGGCTGAGGCTCAGGGACACCTGAGGACAGCCCCTCCTCCCCTTCCTCTAGACACCTCATTTGCTGGGTTAGCACAAGCTGTCCCCCAGCTCCTTGTGGGGGTGCAGGGGTGGCACAGGGGCTCTCTGTGGCCTTGGGTAGCTCACCTCAGCTCCTCGAATCTCGGTTTCTTGGTCTGTGAAATGGGGCACTGGTGAGTCCCAGAGGATTGGGAGAGCTGAGGCAGATCATGCACATAGTTGGTGCACAATAAAGGTGGCCATTATTATTGCTAAGGTGGACGGGTGATGTGCGGAGATCCTGAGGACAGGCAAGCCTGAAGCTGCCCCTTCGAGCCTTGTCCCTGGGTTGGGAGTGGCCTTTCAGAGGCTGCTCTGTACCAGGCAGCGTCCTAGCTGGGTGAGCTGGGCCAAGGTGGGTAATCCGGGCAGGCAGCATGCTGGGCCGTCACGTCTCCCTGCCCCCTAAGGAGGTGGGGACCTGGGTCGGAGTGGGGATGGAAGGCTCGTACTAGTTCGGAGTCTGTTCTCGGAAAACCACAGATTCAGTCCCACCTCACTGACTGGGATGGCGGCAGAGGAGACAAAATAAAAACAAGACAGCACTGTGTGGTCCACTGTCCTGCACTTGCATCTTCCTATTGCCTCCCCCTCCTCCAGCATCACCAATTCTACTCCCTCTTCCCCTCCCATTGCCTTTCCTTTGGCCTCCAGGCATGTGATAGATGTGCAGTGCACATTTGCAACATGAGTTTAGGCAGCTAAGAATGCACAGGATTGAGGCCCCTACAGTAGACAGGCAGCTGGGGCCTGTCCCCACCACCCTGTCAGCCTTCTCAGGAAGAGACACCGAAAAAGGGCAGTGGCCTCCCCAGAGCATTTGAAGGTCAAGCTACATAAGACCCGTACAGTTACATTGCTTGTAACCAGTCTGTAACCTCAGGCTTCTCATCTGTAAAATGGGGACGGTAGTGTACCTACTTCATGGAATTGCTATGAGATTCAGTAGATTATCCATTCAGCAGGTTTGCCTTGCACGCCTCTGTGTGGCAGGGGCTGACCTCAGGGCGACAGAGATTTTGTGGTGAACAGCACACACTCTTGCCCTCATGGTGCCCACAGCCCACTGTCGTCAGGTTCATGGAAGCTGTTATTATCACCCGTTTAAGGGGTGACATGGAAAACGAATCACATAGTCCCTCTGCAGCAATGAACCAGTTCGCACTGATAGGGCTTTACAATATTTAAAGCAGTTTTAAATACATGATCTTGCTTAATCCTTCATTTAGTAGATACCATGTTTTGAAGATGAGGAAACTGCTCAGTGGTAGTAAAGATTTTCTCAAGGTCAGCAAAGCTGGGTGGCCTGGGCCTCTGCTGTGGGATGTGGGAGGCAGGCCCTGGTCCCTGTGGGCTTAGAGCTGCCTATAGGCTTTTCCCATGAGCTGGGGCCCCAGCTGCAGGCAGAGGGCCCATGGGCCACACTGAGGTTCTGGTCAGCACTAGGACAAAATGCCAGCTCAGTGAAATTTGATGTCCCAGTTCAGTGATGGCTTCAAAACTGTGGCTGCCTGGCCCACCTTACCCTGGCACTGGACTCTATATGTAAGAGAGATGGAAACACTCTGACAAGTACCTCGGAGCACCTCGTACTTTGAGAACCACTGCCCTGTGGGAACCTCAGGGCTGGGGAAGTAGTCGTCCAGCTGGCTAGTTCCCATCCAGCCTTTGGCCAGTGGGTGGGGGCCCTGGACAGCACCTGGCAACCCTTCTGTGTCTGGTTACAGGGAACATTGAATACAGCTGCCCGGCCACCAACGAGTGTGAAATCACGAAACGGAGGCGCAAGTCCTGCCAGGCCTGCCGCTTCATGAAATGCCTCAAAGTGGGGATGCTGAAGGAAGGTAAGAGGCCCCGCTTAGCCGCGCAAGGCGGAACCCAGGCTGGGTCCTGGCGAGGCTCTTCTTTCCAAGGGGAGTCTCAGATCCCTGGGAGATGCCAGCAAGCTGTGGACCTTCTCCCAGGGCAGGGCACAAGCACAGGGGTCTGTGGGGTCCTCAGACCCTACCAGACTCTCTGTGCAGCCCAGGTGGAGGCCCCGTCCCCGGGGCACCCATCTCACACACACTGCAAGCAGGTATACAGCCTCCAGTCCCCGCATAGCTCTCCACGCCCTCAGGAGGGCATTTGGGGGCAGGGGATGGAAGTTCTCCATGAAGGATCCTTTGGGGAATGGCGACCCTACTTGGGCGTTAGGAAGCTGGCTTGGCGCTCTGGGGAGGGCCCTCCTCTGGGGTCAGCCTCCTCTCCACACGGGGAAGGAAAACTTGAGATGCCTTATTACCCCTCAGTGGCCCATGGAGTGTGGTGGTGCAAAGACATTAAGGCCCAGAATGACACATCACGTACCCTTCACCTGCCAAGGACGGCCTCTGCTTTCCGGCAGGTGCTCAGGACATGGCTGTCACCTGGAGAATGTTTCCCCTCCCCGGTTCCCTGTCCCCACCGTCCTCTCTCTTCTCGTTTCTTTCTCTGCCTTTTGCCTCCCTTCCTCCTCTAGAGCTGTGCCGTCCGACACGGCAGCACGAGCCACGCCTTCTAAGTGTAAGGCACACACGCGATTTTCAAGACATTTTAAGATGATAAAAAGGAGTATAAAATATTGTAATAATACTTTTTTAAATGATTTCATGTTGAGATGATAGTATTCTGGATATGCTGGGTTAAACAAAATGCATTGTGACATTAATATCACAAGCTTCTTTTTACCGTCTTTAGTGTGGCTACTGGAACATTTAAAGTAACCTGTGGCTTCGTTATTAGGATAGCTCTCCGTCTCCATCACCTTCCCTGTGGATCTGCTCAGGGTGATGACTTTTGTTCAGTATCATTTTTGGAGATGGGTGTGTGTGTGTGTGTGTGTGGGTGGGTGGTGTGTGTGTGTGTGTTTCCCCTTCCCCACCTTTCAAGGGGAGCCAGTGGCAATACTTATAGATGAATTTTCATGATTCTGGGCCCTGGGATCCTTCCAGAAATGGGAGGAAGCAGGACAAGAGGTATGTGCTGGTGGTCAGATTATCTAATCAAGAGGGGCTGGGAGGGAAGGGGAAGGGGTGGGACTGGAATGCTGGCCTTCACTGGAAGCTTCTGGAGCCCAGCCCAGCCCAGCCTTAAGAGCCCTGAGGCACTCTTCCCATCCCCTCTTTAGGCACCCTCTGGGAAAGAGGGTTCAAATTTAAGTTGCTTTGTCAGTAGGACAACTCAGATGTTGTAATGTGGAAATCAGAGGCCCCTTCCCTCCATTTTCCATTCCAGGTTCCCCCCTTCCCCTCAGCTTAGCCCGGGGTCTGCACGTGTAAAACAGGAACCCTTGAAGCAGTTGTTCAAACACCCCTGTGTCCACATGGCACGTTGGCCTTTGAACTGCATTTCTGACTCATGACTTCATGTAACCCTTCTGAGATGGAGAAGGCACTCTGCTCTTAGACACATGCCAGCTGCTCCATGCGGAGGGGTGGGGTATGGACCGAAGAAACAGCCCTCTTTCTAGATTAAAAATGGGCTGTATTTGAGCTACTGAAAGACTGTGTTGGTTCATTTTGATTCTACCCAATTTGGGTCTATCCTATTTAAGGTGTGACCCAAGCTAGTGGCTGAACCAGGTCCCCTGACTCCTACACCAGATTCTTTCTGCTCCTCCAGAGCATCCTGGGCTTCACAAATGAGGAAACTGAGGCACAAAGGCCCTCAGAAGTGTGCCTTAGTGCTGGTCTCTCAACTTTCCCTCTGTGTGCTGCTGGGGACCAACCTGAGGCTTTCTAGACCTTGGAGAGACTCCTTGCTCTTAAGTTTGTAAGGATGGGAGCTGCCACCTTGTTCTGGGAAGCAGGGTGTAAGGACACTGACTCAAGGGGTGGGGGCAGCTATCCAATGGTTGGAGGGTGTAGCTTCTCTTGGCTTCCTTACTTCACAGCATTGGAGGAACATAATGCAGAGGAAGCTGATTGCTATCAATATACCCCTGAATTTGAAGAGTGACAAAATTGAGTCCTAACAGGGTTGGGGTGAGATGATTCTCCCACCATCAGTCACATGTCGGTTTGAGGGGAGCTGGTCCGAGAGCCTGGAGCTTCTCCATGGTCTGTGCTGCGTCTGCTCTTCACAGAGGCATGGGTCAGGGATGGGGAGGCTTTCAACCCCAGGCCACCTCCCCTCAACCCCAGGATTGTGAGCTAAAGAGCAGAGGAGAAGGGAGGTGAGGAAAATGAAGGGACCACCATTCAAAATCCCTGGACCATCTTGCACCCTTGAATGGAGTCTATTTAGGGACTACCCAGTGCTGGGAGGAGAGTACAGGAACTTCCTGATGGCCCCCCAGAAAGGGGGAATGATGAAGGAGATCTAAAGAGGCAGAGAAGCAGGTGGCCAAGGGCACAATCCATTGGCGGCAGCAACCCAGGCACCCCCACCAGCCACTTAAAAGGAGATGGATGCTGTGTGTCCCAGGATGATGGTTTAGGGTGTTGGGTCATGCGGGCCCAAGAGAAACATGTCTCAGGTAGGGAGGACATTCAGGGTGGGCCCCAGTGTTGACCACTCCTGCTGTAGATAAGCCCTGTTTTTGGCCCAGGATGCAGGATGCAGGACTGGTGCAGATCGGCTTCTAACAAGGGCGTCCGAGGCTGTTGGAAGGAGCCAAATGCACCTGCTGAGGTGAACTAACTGGGGCCCAGCCTGAGAGGCCCCCCAGGAGCCCTGCCCTAGGAGGAGGGGCAGTCACCAGAATATTCCCTTCCCTGGCCCTGTACCTCCCCCAGAGCTAAATTCAAAGTGGGGAAGATGACAGAAAGGCTCTGAGCGCCTCCATTTAGTTCGTCTTGTCCCTGCAGTACAGAGCCTTGGCCAGATCCCGGGATCTGAAGCTCCACGGGGACCGGCCCCTTAGGAGGAGCGCGCCTCATCGAGGAGCCTGGGTCCCTGCCAGGCAAGGGCTCTTGGCAGCTGCCCTGACTCCTGCTTTTGTGTGGGTGCCTGTTTCCCACCCCCTCCATATGCAGGAGCCCAGGCCCTCTGGCTCCCTGCCTCCCTCCATCTCCCTCAGACTCTGACCTGACTCTGAAATGCAGGCTCCAGCCTTCTCTGGGGCTGCTCCCCATCTTTAAGTTTCCACGGTGGGCCTTGGGCATTGGGGAGCCAGGCGCTGGGGTCCTGGGTCTTCCAGGGGGAGGGGGCTGGGGAAGGAGAGAATGGAAGGCCGGCTTCCGCCTCCTCCCCATCTCACCAACACATCAGAACCCTGTTTCCCTCTTCCATCCAGCAGCTCTGGACACCTTTCACAGCTTTTCCTTTAAGTAAAATGACCTGAGAGACTGCCCTGTGATTTTGGGGGCCCAACAACTGCCAGGGAAAATGTCAGAAGTGGGGCTTTCTTTGGCCGCCTCTGCTGAGGCTGCTAGGGGCTGTGGAACATAGGTGATGTCCAAGGGTCTATCTCGCTTCAAGCAAATCCAGTGTATGAAAAATCTGTACTTTCAGGGGAAAAGCGATTGTTCTCTTTATGAGAAACTGAATATAAAATCTGCTCTGAGCTGGGAATCGGTGCCTGTGTTCCCCTCGTGGCTCTGAGATATCCTTGCTGTGTATATTATTTCTCACGGGCCTGGGTGACCACCTCTCCACCTGGAGAGCAGGGGTGGCTGAAACCTGCTCTCCATCACCAGGTCAAGGTGAAGACCAGATGGGTCAACTCCTTGGTAAGATGCACTGTGGGGCTGCTTTAAGATGTCAGCTTCCTGGGCACGTTAAAAATACTATTTGATTCAAACAGGCTCGTTTGCGCTCAGCTTTTCAGCAGCCCAGCCATTGTGCTAGATGGTGTCCAGGTGTCCTGGCATCCTGGTGTCCAGCCGCCCTGATTTTCCTCCTGGATTTGCTGGAGGTGGCATCCACCTTGGGTTGACCCCCATCTGGGGTCTAAAATGAAGATGAGAAGGTCCCTTGAGAGGATGGTGGAGAGGCTCTCCCCTGACAGGTGGGCTCTGCAACCTGACTAGGGTGTGGCCTGACAGCTTCTAAGCCAGGAGAACCTGGAAAACTATTTGCAGCATTCCACAGGCGCCCCCATGTCTGTGATTTCAGCAACTCCCCCTACACAGATTGTCCCTGCAAACTTCTCCTTACCTCACTTCACCTCCCTGAGGCCACCAGCCTCCCGGTCCCGCTCCATTTCCTCCTCCCCTCAGCCCCTTGCCTGCCTTTCCCCAAGTGTTTTCTAAAAGATATTTGATTTCAGTGAAGGCCAGGCTGACATCCGCGCAATATGCCCTCACTCTCTTTGTGCTCGTTGGGAAGGCAGAGGGCTCCTCCAGGGACTCTGGGTAATTGGGTTAGTGGCCAGCTCATGTCAGGAAATTAAAAGGAGGCCCCGATCAGGTTCCCGCTGCATGGGATTTAATGGCTTTGTATTTATAGAGTATCCTGCCTCTAGCCAATGCCAGAAATACCACTTCCCTGGCCCTATGCAGGAAGAAGGAGGATGAGAGATGACTTGCCTTTAAAAATTCTTTTTCTTCTCCAAAATACATTAGTGTTCTGAAACAAAACAACTCTTGAGCACTTTAGAGAATAGCTTTGAACTACAGCCCAAGAACTCTGATGGCTGTTTGTATCCCCCGAACCACTTTGCACCCGACACACACACATGCACGCACACACACGTGTCTGCCCGCCCACAAGATCTTCCCATGTGGCCTCACGCCTTGGACCACTCAGGCGCGATGACTTGACGACCTCTGGTTGGGGAAGTGTTGATTGAATAAAGTCACAGGGGGTGGTCTTGTCTGTACGGGGCCCTTACTACTGTTCATCAGGGTTTCGGCGCGTCAGACGTTGGATAACAGGTTCG